AGGGAACTCCATTCGCAATCTGCGAGTCGCGGGTTCGAATCCCCGTCCCACCAAACATGCTAGCCCTTTTAGCCGTAGAGGCATTATAATGTAACGACCAATTCCACTATTCATTGGTAAAAAGAGTAACCCAAGAGTTGGCGGTTGGTGGTGATGACTAGCTGCCTTCCCTCTAGTCTTACACTGCTAAATTAGGGACGGCTAGCGTAGATAGCCCTCGTTTAGCTTTGCGCGAAATTCAAAAACAAACAATTTCAATAAATAAAGAAATTATGGAAAAACAGAAAAAGAAAAACCTAATTCCGAAAAAACACAATGTTTCAAAATTAAACCATTTCTCAGGATCAGTAACAATATCTAGCAATAATTCTAACAATATCTCGTAAACTAACCCATTTGAGATCAAAGAAAGGTTTTATTTAGTGGTTAGATCACGATGTTACATCTCATGTGATTAGCTATTACCATAAATTTACATAATCTTTAACAACATTAATATCTGTACAGTACCGTTAGGGAAAGCTTGTAGGCTCCCTGATCTATATAAATAATAACTTGTGTTTGTCTCTCCGGATCTTTTCTCGATCAAACACTACAAATCTCATATCGTTAGAAAGTCCTTTGTTCGAGGAGTCCAGATTGCATATTAGCACTTCTATTCAGAATAATCTTATCTGTTTCTTGCGTAGTAAAACTTTTAAATGCAACGAGTATGGTACACGATGGCACAACGTCGTTGTCATCACGTCACGATTGGCTTCGATTTCAATTTTAGTTTTATATTTGCAAAGTATTTCACACGAACAACACCTTAACAATTTCTGTAGGCCTTCTCGACTTATTTAGGTCTAAAATACGCATGCACAGTTCATTCAAAACTACATATTTGTCACTTTGTAAGGGTGCATTCAGACGTTTCTGCATAATCAGCTAAATTTGCTTTCATTAAACTTTACATTTACTTTACTTTGTAATGATTTAGCGTCGTTTTGTTTCATAGGCCGCTATAAACATCTTTTTGCTAATTTTCTCTTCACTACGGGTTTTATTCCTCGTTTTTGTGAGTTTCTTTGTTTCGACTAGTAAAACTGTGTGATACACTGAACGCTTATAACTGTTTCATACTCTGTACACTGTTATAAATACCATTACTATTCTTTATTGTTTATTTTACGTGTAGTCTTAATAAATAAAGTTACGTCTACATGAGTTTGTTGGTCTAACCGCGTATTTTTCTTTCTTTCTTTCTTTTCTTTTTCTTTTTTTTTTATCGATCTAACACATAATACCTGTAAAAAGTATAGCTTAAATCAGTGGTTCTCGACCTTTTCTAGTAATGTACCCCTAGTTAGTTTTCAACATTATAATGTACCCGCAGGGTGGCGCCATCAGCGTTTGTTTCAGCTGCGCTAACGTATAGCTACAACGCCGAACTACTGTCCTCTTACATCCTGGAAGTGCCCCCCAGTGGCACAGCGATATGTCTGCGAAATTACAACGCTAGAATCCTGGGCTCGATACCCGTGGTGGGCAGAGCACAGATAGCCCATTGTGTAGCTTTATGCTTAATTACAAACGAACAAACATCGAGGAAGTAATTTTGTACCCCCGGTTAAGAACCACTGGCTTAAATGGCGTGCGTAAAAATGATAGACTAAGGAAAATTCGAGCGAATGGCATACATACTCAAAACTAAATGGGCATTAAATACAGTACATACCTCTGCCACACGGCGTTGATCATATTCGGCTCTCCAAAATTACGTAATTATGTCCGTTGTTATCAACGGACGCAGACCATTTTTGGCAGGGCTATAAGGAATAATATTGTTACGACAGCG